AAAAGGAATAAAATCTAATTACTCAGAACACTGTGATTCAACAAAGCCTCCCTTACCACACAGACCCTGCCCCTAAACAGTGGAACTTAACGCCTCCTGCTGTTCCCTGATCAGATGCAATCTATGATCTGGATTGGCAGGGTGGTCAGCGCTGGGCATCAGCGAAGACCGTGTCTGAAGTGGTTTCAAAGGGGCTGAGATCAATGTTCTTTATCATTCAACCATTTTCTCTGCTTTTGCAGAGGTTTTTTTGTTTTGTTTTCAAATTTTTACCAAATAAATAGAAATTATGGATCTTCTGCTGAAGGCATTTTAGCGGAAATTTTCAGCCGTGGAGACTTTAGAAAGCTGCTAGAAGAGACTCTTGAGAGAAGCAGCGATGTGGGCAATGTTGTAATCTGGGGAATTCACTGGGAAATGGGTGTTTTCTTGTGTTATTTTGAGTTGGGCATGCCGAGGATTAAATCCAGGGGTACTGCGCCACTCAGCTATACCTCTAACCCTTATTGTTTTATTTTGAGACAAAGGTCTCACTAAGGCAGGGTGCTTTCAAATTTATGACCTTCCTGCCTCAGCCTACTGAATAGTTGGGACTACAGCCAAATCTCTGCCACTATCTTCATGTAAACGTTAAAATTCCTACTTGTAAATCTATTGCCTTCAGTGAATGAAAGTTTCAAAATTAAAATAATAAAAAAGTTCTCCAGTCAAATGTACATGAAATTAGCTTGATAAATCTGTGCTGTTTACTGAGCATGAATGTTGAAAGAAAGCCCATTTTGATGCAAGTTATTAACAAATTTCCAAAATTTAAGGCATGAACATAAAATCGATAATTAGTATTATTCCTTATTGTAACAGACCCAGGATGAAGGTTTGAGGTTTTTCCTTTAGAAATGCATTCGTGTAATTAAAAAGTATCGGTTTACTACACTTTTCCAGGTTTACTACACTTTTCCAGGTTTACTATTTGTTTATCTTACTGGCATGAGTACGAATACGACACTCAATAAAAGGAAAAAATGTATGGTTCTCTGGCCATTAATTATTGCTTTTTATTTTATGATTATTACTGGAAATAACTTCATTGTACCGAGGAGAGGCGGTAAAGAGCTATGTGCTCCCAGGACAGACAGCCCTGTGCTCCTTGTTGTGGGCCCAAGATCTTCCCAGACCTCTGACAAGAGGCACCCACAGCCCACAGCATTTTGGAAATGAAGCCCTAATAAAGCAATGTCTCTGGTAACTAAGTTGGCTTGTTCAGGCTTCCTTACTAAATTGTGGTCATTTTATTTATTTATTTATTTGTTTGTTTGTTTGTTTTGCAGTGTGAGGGATCGAACTCAGGACCTTGCATAGGTGCGGTGCCACTGAGCTAAATCCCTGGCCCTGTGGTTATTTTATTTCTGGGTCCTTGTCCATGTTTATAAGTGTGAAAGGAGGGAGACACTGTCCTCTCTCAGAATCCCCTATAATTTGTTCAAGAGTTCCTTCTCCACCTTGATACTATTGACGTTTGGGGCCAGACAATGAATGCTTTGTTAGAGGACCCATCCCAGGCACTGTAAAATCTTTTTTATCTGCACCTCTAGCCTCCACCCTCTAAACACCAGTAATACGCCCCCACCTCCCCAATTATGACCAAGACTGTCTCCAGAGAGCACCCCAGGTGAGAACCTCCACA